GGCAGCTGCATAACTCAACTCATCCCAGGTAATCTTCCAACCCGTCCAGTTCCATAGTCGATCCACTGTCCATGGTTGTCCACACTGTACCAATAGGTACTTTCTTCCACCTCCCCATCTGAGGCAGGGTGCTGATGAGAGACCGAAAAAGCGGGTGTTCCCGGTGAGGCCCCCGGGGCCTGACCAACTTGACCTTGGTTGGCAGCTACATTGTCTTCGTCTCTGGCGGGTGTCTCCGGCGGCGTTGGGTATGATGATTCCTGTTCTGGCATCTCACCTCCCTGCTGTTCACTACCTTGAGGTTGGACAGCAAAAGTCGGAATATTTGTAGCCAGAAAGGGGTCATCCATGCCCTTACTTGTTGATTCCTCAGGCATTGAGATTGAATCAATCACAGTCTGGTGAATGGCAGCAGGAACCAGTTCCCCCAAGGTTTGTCCATTGATATCCAGAGGATTGTACCTCTCATTATCCTTGAACACCACATCTCTTGTCCTGATTACCTTATTGAGTGAAGGAATCCAGATCCAAAAAATATTGGTGGAGGCATACCCAATCAGGTACCCAATGTGAGCTCTCTCTTCCATCTTGTCTCTCTTGGCAATGTCTCTGCGGAGAGCGAAGGCCTTGCAACCAATGGGGTGGAGATGGCTAAGGAAGGGCTTCTTGGTTGTGACTTTCTCAAATGGAGTTATCTAATTGAGTTTGGCAGTAGGGGTCCTGTTAAGTAGGTAAACAGCTGAATCTATAAGCTATGGCCAAAGGTTCTTAGGCAAATGGCCATCAATCCTGAGAGTCCTGGATTTGGTAACAATTTCTCTTCTAGCAACCTCACTTGCTCTATTCTGGGCAGGGGTATCAGCAGCAGTGGGCAAAGTGGTGATACCTAACCTGGATATGGCTTTTCCAGCATCCTTCCCAATGGTAGCCTCTATATCAGAGCGGACCAGGATGGTTTGAGCACCAAATGACACTTCCATCCTTTTGAAGTGTCCTCCAAACTTGGCAACTGCTTGTGGCTTGGTTGCTACAGGTTTACCTATATGATAGCCCTCCTGGTTATAGTACCAGTGGCTGTAAAACTTGAAGACCAATCCATTTGGTCTAGGGAGAGAAGGGGTCATATCAATGAGATCCTATGAACAGACAGCCATCTTGGCATTCTCTGCCTCAGGCAGCACCTCTCTGTGCTTGTCCTTCCTTCTCGAAATCACTGCTTTGGCCTTGGCCAGCAAGCAGGTGTCACAATTGACACTGTTTAGAGTCTCCTTCTCAGACTTAATTACCTGGCAACCCTCAGATGCAGGTTCCAGGTTCTCAATGGCCCTTACAGATGGATGGCCCAGCAACTGATGCTACTGATTGGCCGTTGCTGTCAAAGGTGGAAGTGGTTTATGACTGGATTGTGCAGCAGCAACAGATCCAGCAGGTGACGTTGAGGCAGGTGAGGTTGATTTCCCCGCATTCTCAGAGTGTGGGGTGTATACTGACTTCACCTCCTCAATTCCAGGGGTTCCAGATAAAACAGGAATTCCAGTGGTCCTAGCAACACTTCTTGTTGCAGGCAATCGTTCAATAATCCAGTGACCATGTCTGTCGTTACTGTGTTCAGGGGTGAGGCATGCCCAAAGCCTGGGCTCCTCATGTGCTTGGCTAGTAATCAACTTGTCTGGCCAGTTTCTGGTATTATGGTGAATACCCTTCTTGTTGAGGATCTGCAGTGAGACCAAACTTGTGAAGAATCCCGGAATGAGCCTTGCCTTGAGAAGAGTGAGCTTCCTGGTAACTCCATTACCTATATCCAGATTGATGGTGGCATTAACAATTGCCTCAGGTTGGTACCTCTTGTCCCTAGATATCACTATATCAGAGGAGGTTGGTAACTCAGATCTGACGATCCTTGCCCTTATGGATTCGTTGATGATGTGCACATTGGCACCACTATCAAGAATCACTGCGTTGTAGAGCCGGGTGTGACCAATTGATCCAACAGATGCCTCAGGGGTCGATTCCAGGGTGGTAGCAGCAGCAGTGTCCTCGAGTTCTGCGGCTATACCTGACTTGTTCTTGGTGTCTTTGTCCTTCGACCCTTGGCCTTGAGCAGCGTTGTAAGCTTGAATTGCTTTGTCTACTCTCTCTTTCAGGTTCTTGTCCTCCTTGAATCTCTTCTCAATCTTCCTCTTGGTATTATCTCTTGGCTTCTATGCCTCAGGCCTCGGATACTCGGCATTGAGGTAGTAGCATTCCTTCCACATGTGGTTCCTACCACAGAGGCAGGGCTTTCTTGAAGAGGAGGATGATCGAGTTGAGGACGAAGATTCGGCAGCAGCTGCAGAGGAGATGCTGGCAACAGTGGTTCTGTGCTTGCTCTTGAATTTGGTGTCACCATTGTGCTGAAAGTAGGACTGCCAGGCTCTCAATTCTGAATGGAGAGGTGTTACCTCCCCATCATTCTGCTTATCAAGCAGCCTGCCTGTCCTTGTGGCCACATAGTCTCTATACATTGGAGTCATAGAAGACAACCATACTTGGGTAGATTCATTGTCTGCTTGTGTACCAACAGCATCTCTCTTGCTACACTAAGTGAACCAAAGGTGCATATGGTTATGAATAGACTTTCCATATAGTGGGTGAGAAAGGGTTTCCAACTCTTTCTTCAACAACTGAGTAGCAGCAAGGGTGTTGGGCTTGGTGTATTCTGAGAGCTTCTTGAGTTTCTCTCTCAGAGTCTTGCAGTTGATTACCCTGTACTGGAGGTCTGGAGACAGAGACTGGTTAATTATTGATGAGATCCTCTGATACCCCTTTTGCTTGAGTTCCCATGCCTCCTTGTTATACCTATGCTTGAACTGAGCAAGGCTGAGAGCTGTTGGTGTAACGTCATCAGGAAGGGAGTTGAAATCAAAGACTGGTTGTCTTCTGGACTGAATAGGGGCTTCTAGGTTTAGTTCATCAACTCCTGGGTTGATATTATCCCATATCTGGAGGGCCTCTGCCTCGTTCTCAATGTGGGTGATCTATACATTCCAGTCCTACTAGGTGCGCAGCTTGGCAATCGACGTCGTCGTTGATAATGAGGGTTCCGGTGAATCAGCCATGGTGTCTTCGTTGAATTCGTCAAACCACTCTTGATGCCCAGGACACGAGCCACTGGGTGTTTCTTCAACCTCTTGAAACTCAGGACTCGGGGATCGGTCGATTGTAAGCTGATCTGATGGGCTCGGGCTTTCTTCTCTTCTTCTGGATGAACGGGTTTGGGCCGGCATAAAGTGATGGTGTGCGGTCCTCGGGTTTTCTTGATACAGCGGATTTTGATCAATCTCAGGTGATTCCGGGAGATATCCAGTAACCAATTGATTCCTTTGATTAATCAAGCAGAGCTAGCCGGGCTCATAACTGTTGGAACCACACACCACACTAGTGCCCAATTGAGAAGATTGATGGAATACCAATCAATAAGTGGATTAATTGAGGTCCGAGGTCTGACCTCTCAAGAAGAGAAAAGAGGGGGGGTGGGTATCCCCAACTCTACATACATATGCCAAGGAATCAGTGGCCCCTGTTATCTC